TGACACAGCAGAAGAGCTAGCTATTCTCCAAAGGAAGTGGGTAGAACTTGTTCAAGCCAACCAGAAAACTGTCCTGGAGAATCATCAGCTTGTTGCCGAGCGCAATAGACTAAAGGAGAGTATTTCAGAACTAGAAAAGAAGATTGAAGACTTAGAAGGGCAACAATCAGATCTCAAGTATGAATTAAATCAACTCAAAAACTTTCACAAGTGGATGAGAAGTGCTGGAGCAAAAGCTATTGAGGAACAAGTGAATGTTTCAAAATTTTATGGAGACAAGACGGGTCTCGGATTTTCAGGTTCTGAAAGCAATAAGACTCCACTTGACTTGTTTGTTGATCGAAGAAAGGAAATTGCTCAAAAAGTCCCACAAGGAAGGAAAACAGAAGCTGCTGCATCTGCTGGAACATCTTCTGCAAAACCTGCTGAAGCATCTCATGAAGCTTCTGCTGGAACAATTTATGCAGCACCCTATGCAAAAAGGCAAAGAGTTGTGACACAATCTAGTATGAGAAGACACAAGGATCATTATGCTAAACCTGAAAGGTATTCTTATAAAAATTTCTATGCTAATTATGTTTGTTTTTGCTGTGGAAAAAGGGGACACATTCAGAGGAAATGCAAGATTTTTACAGAGCAAAGACACAGAAAAAAGAATGTGACAACAAGGATGGTTTGGGTACCTAAGAATCAGTACAAAACAGGTGATAATCCTTGGGTGAAAGATGTTGCTTCTGATCAATGCCATGTTAGTAGTGCAAGCTTGCATCAAGAAGAAAAGAAAACAGATTGCTGTGCTGTTAAGAGTGCTGAATCATCTCGTGATGAAGTGACACGTCCTAGTCATGAGAGTGTGAAGTTTATGACTATGAAAAAACGGGCATTGGGCATGTGTAAAAGAGCATTTGATGGGAATCGGTTTGGTATACTCAGATCCCGCTTGGGTCTGTGCACACCTATCTCTACCTGATTTAGAGGATGCTCTAAGAGGTGCTTCATATCCAGCGTGGAATACCTTAGAGCATAGATGTTTTTGCTGGTTGCATAAATGTCTTATTTTTGCAGATTGCTACTTTTTCAGATGCATCGTCCGAGGGGGAGTCGCTCAAGTGTGGCACAGATGTGACAAAGTCTAGGTCTTTTTTTATGTTCATTATTGTAATGCTCAAGCTCACTTGAATGTTACTCTTCTCTTTTTGCCCCAATATTCTTAATAAAACCTTTGGCATTTTTTATGCAAAAAAGGGGGAGAAGAGGTTCAAAACAGCTGAGATTCGTTTTTGTCAAAAAATTGCCAAAGGGGGAGATTGTTAGTTCCATAGTGTGTTGGCATTATTTTTTGACAAACGAATAGATTTATCTAGAATTATTTTAGATGTTTTATCTAGACTTAGAGTCCTAGCATATGAAGGAAGAGAAAGAGGAAAGAGTTTGAAGAGAGAATTCTAATCCTACTTGAATTATAATCCTACTCTTGAGGAGGAAGGCATGGTTGAGACTTCTAAGCACACTCTAACAAGGTTAATATTATCTATATATTATCTTCTCCCTCCCTTAGAGTTGGGTGTGAAAAAAAATACGAAACTATTGAAGCAAATCCGAAAATAGGAAGAACAAGGTGTAGAGTTTGACAGTGCAAAGTTTCTGGACAGCCCGCACAGATTTGATCATCTCCAGAGATCCGACCGTTGGATTTTGCTGAAATTTTCAGAGAGTGTTTCCAACACATAGGGCTTCAACGTGTTAAAATTTCACGTCCATCGGAGTTACGGATCTTCTGTTATCAAAGTTACAATATACACATTGTTGCTGATTTTTTGCAGAAAATATTGTCCTGGTTTTCTCGACTGTTGGAGTATCAAATCTTGTCCGATCGTGCTGAAATTTTGGGAGGAGTTTAAGGACTCGTGGATCTTCAATCTGAACGGTGGAGATCGAATTCCAACGGTTCAATCTTGATTTATGAGCTTCTGAATAGCCCGCAGAAATACACTCAGAATATTCAAGGAGAGAGCGTGAGATCACCACAATTCCGATCAGAATAGAAACCTGTG